GTCCTCCCCCGTACCCCACGCGGACATATGCATCCATCCCTGTATATACGTATGTACAGGTAACGTACTAACGTACATACGTAAGAATAGAAAACGATGAATCTTACCTTACATTAGATGTATTTTATTTAAAAAGAAACTCATACCTTACTTCACCGGAAAAAGAAAACAAAGACACTTACTTCACCGGAAAAACAAAACAAAAACACGAGTACTCCATATGTACGTACATACGTAAGAATTAAAAAACAATGAATATATTACCTATTGTTTATTTAAAGAAAAAAACTATGCACGGACTTACTGTAAAAAAAACAAAGAAAAAACATACGTGTGTAGTACCATAAAAAATCGATTATATTTAAAATAGAGTTTTCTAATATTTAAAGAAAATCTATTACTATATAAATTTAAGCAAATATCACCGCCGATTTTTAATTAAATTGGTGAACCAAATAGTTTAAACAATTAGATATATTTTATTTTAAAAACTAATAACTTATTACTCTGTGTACGTATACGGGAGAACTATATAACAATTAGGCTAGAAAAAGAAAAAAAACGTAAGTAATCCCTACGTACATACGACTTGGAAAAATAAATAAAACTTAACCGCTATCCATCGAAAGTTCGGAACAAAGAAAAATCTACTCACGGTGGTCTTTTTAAATAGTATTTTCGAAATCCTTTACTATAAAAACAAAAAAACAAAAAAAAGCGTATCATTCGAAAAAGATCGATGGTCTTTTGAAATAGTATTATCTACTATTTAAAGATAAATATATTACTCTACAAATTTACGTAAATATACGTAGTTAAACTAAATCTATATTATAAATATGAAATGTTCGATCTTAACATACAAGGCTGATATATATATATATATATAATTAATGTTTTGATAATTTCTTATTTCACATCATATTTTAGGGTGTCAAATATCACTCGACAAATATACAATACTAATTTAAATTTACATTTGTGAAAATGAAAACAACACAATTTAGTTGTTTCATTTTACACCGTTAGATTAATTGTTTCTCCTATATACATATATATGAGAAATATATAACTGTTGACCGGAAAAAGTACTCCGTACTTATATATGGTTGAAAAAAATAATAATGCTTATATTGTTTGCCGGAATAACATAAAACGTATTTATGATAAAGGCCAAAAAATGGGCAGTCCTTAAAAAAAATTTCTACAATTTAAAGATAAAAATATAATAATCTTCAAATTTACACAAATGTAAATATAAAATATTCAATCAATGCTTTTAAGTATTCTATCTTTTAAATTATTTTAAAATTATATATCCAATTTGTGATCCGGTTGTATTCCTTTAAATAAATAAACTACTAATATCTATAGCCATAAATACATCACAAATATGGAGCCGGCATGTAATAATTAATGTTATGATAATAATTTCACATCATATTTTAAGTGTGAATAACACTTGACAAATATACAACACTAACTTAAATGTACATATGTATTCTCCAAATTACTAAAGGTGTCTCATGTGATTAGAAACAATAGATGTGGAAAACAAACCAGACACCGAACGAACATGCACTACAGTATACATATTTGTCAAAATATGATACGGTACTTTGGAGATTATCGTGGTAATATTTAGAAAATCACTGTCTTGGTTACGTATAAATTCTTCTATTGTTTTGGGATAAAATTTACCTCCTTCGATTTATGTGACAGGGGAATATAAGTAATATAAGTCTATCTTTGATCAGATGAAGAAGTATCATTAGTTATATTTTTAATAGAAAATATATTTCATTAATATATAATAAAATTAAAATGTTACCTAAAGTCATCTATAGCATACAAAACAAAAAATGTTATATAAAGTTTGGAAACTCCAAATTTTTTTTAAAAAAATCACACACAATATAAATAGATATGAACTAACTCTATTATTGGGACATATTTTTTCTAATAAATTTGAGGATATACAGGTTCAAGTAATATGCCCAACAGTTATTAATGAACATACGTTTAAAGTAGAGTAAAACAATATTTCAAAAATATCATCCACACATAAACATTCATAATAATAAAATTTCAAATAAGATTAAACAACATGCTCGCGCGTATGCGCAGGCTACCTTCTTTCGTTTAATAGCCAAACTTAAGTATAATCACCATACTATAACAACAAGGGGTGAGATTACCTCCACAACCCTATACATATATTGAAAATACTAATTCAATAAATATTATATTAAATTAAGCAAGTACTGAAAAACACAACTTAACATATACATATCTGGATATATTAGTAGTGAGAAAACTAAAGCATATACACAATTTACTTGTATTACTATATACTACTTCTTAAAAAAAAGTCGTCACCACCACCACCACCACCACTGACATGTTAACCATAATAATATCAATATAACTCGTGAGTACTACGTTGCTTTATCCTGCAATGGTGTGGAGTACTCTCTCCATCCCAAAATATAAGCAATTTTTGGTAGATATGATACTTCTTAGGAGTCTGTCCAGATTCATAGTCCTAGGAGTGTCATATCCCCTCAAAATCCCTTATATTTTAGGGTTAATTGGATCCATGCCATCGTAAATATGCCTTATTGAAAATATGCCACTACTCTTCACATTATTAGCTGGGTGCCATTGAAAATTTATAAAATTGGAACCATGCCACTCCTGTCACTTTTTTTGTCCTCCTATCTCACGTCGCCATCCTCCCCGTCAAGTCGCCATCCTCATCATCACCTTTCCACACCAAAGTCGGAGCTCCTATCCCCGCCATTGGAGTCGGAGCTCCCGTCGCTGGAGCAGAGAGGTGCAGGGCCGCGGGGCGACGACCTTAGGCACGCCGGCGTCAACATCGGTGAAGGGAGGAGGGGAGAGACATCAACTCCACCGCGCCGCCGGCCATCGACTGTCGATTTCCCCTTGTAGCCGCCGGCCAACCGCCGGATCCGCGTCACCAGAGAAGAGCTCGAGGTTGTCCACCACCAGATCCACGCCGTCGTGGTGGGTGGTGTTGATGGTGGTGGTGGGCCTGGTGGCGGCGGTGGCAGAGTGTGGGTGCTGGCAGGGCAAGATGGCAGTGATCGCGGCGGAGAACGAGAGCAGACGCCGGTGGATGAGACGAGGAGAGCTCTGTGTCCACAGCCTCCAGCAGCGTCATGCGGCTCGGCCTCCTCCCTGGCATGGAAGAAAGAAGCGGAGGGGAGGTTGTCGCTGCGCCTGGGCAGCAGCTCCTCATCTCTCCCGTCACCGCCACCGCGCCCCATGCTCCAACCTGTTGTCGCTTGAGCCTGTCGATGCTGAACGGGCAAGCGGCGGGACAGATGAACGACAGTGGGACCTCAGCGGCTCGGTGGTGGCTTCTCTCTCACCAGATCTGGACAGAGATCCTAGCCCGTCATCGTCGCGCTCATCGACGAGCTCGAGCAGATGCGCGGCCCGCTCACTGCCGCCCTCACCGAGGAGCTATCCTCCTATCCCGTTCCTTCACCATCCGCCGTGCCCTCCTCCTCCGGCTCCCTCTTCGACAGTCCACGATCACCGCGTGGAGTCGTCGCCGTCCACGACCACCAGCTAGCCTTCCCGGAGCTTGCTGGCCAGCTTCTGGCGTAGGCGTGCTGCTTGCAGTGGCATCTACCCGAAGTAGATGAAGGCACCATTGATAGAAAATATGACGGAGACGACAGAAATCATGATGGAGTGGCATTGTTCTAATTTTAGAAGATCGCAGTGGCATCTATCCGATTTCATGAATAGTAGTGACATTTTTTTCAATATGGTATATTTACGATGATATGGATCCAATTAACCCATTTTAGGACGGAGGGAGTAGGTGTGTATTAATAGTGTTTAACTGCTCTTGCTGCAAGATAGTCCTTTATTTTTCCATTAATTTGCTTCTTGCCATCATGATTAAAAAAACTCACAAACTATTTAGTTTCTTTTAGTTTAAAATGAGATAGACAACATAATTTAGTAACAAGTACATACTTTATAATCATATAACATCTGAAAAAAAAATCTAGCAATGCCTTTTTTTTTTGCCTTTTAAGATCAAGTCTTGTTTTTACCAAGTTGAAGCTAATATTTTTTTTTCAACGAGGATGCACGAGATATGTTTTCTATTTTGAATAATCCGTTACAACATATAAATATTTGGCTAGTACATTATACGATAAGAAAGATACTTAAATTGTGTTCTTTCCTTCCCTTTCCCAACTTCTACCACTCGTTTTTCGCACATATGCTTCCCAAACCGATGATTTTTTTTACAAAATTTTTCTATAGAAAAGTTGTTTTAAAAATCATATTAATCTATTTTATAAGTTTTTTAAGCTAATACTTAATTAATCATATGCTAATGTAATCCTCCATGTTACATACCGAAGGATTAGTTACTAACCTACCATACCGAACACAACGTTAGGCTGAGTTTGTTCTGACGGTCACTCAACACATGACTAATTAAGTATATTAAAATTTTTAAAAATAAATCAATATAATTTTCCAAGTAATTTTTCTATAATTATTTTCACAAATAATATATCGTTTAGCAGTTAAAAACCTGTGTGTGAAAAAAAGAATAATTAAAAGTTGAGAGAGGGGAGAAACGAACACAATGTGTGTTTAGTTCGTGCCAAAATTAGAAGTTTGGTTGAAACTGGAACGATGTGATAGAAAAGTTGAAAATTTGTGTATGTATGAAAATTTTGATGTGATGAAAAAGTTGAAAGTTTGAAGAAAAATTTTAGAAATAAACTCGGCCTTACATTTGGGGCCATAAAATTGCATGTTTATCCATCCTCCACAACTCTTCTCTCTCTCACCGATCTGATTGTGCTGTGCGCTTGTTCAGCTGTGCTGCTCGGTTTTTGCTCGCTATGTGCACGAAAAAAAATCCCAAAAATTATATTGGTCCATTTTATATCTTCAACCAGTTGTAAACACTAAACAGCTGTAGTAATAAGTGGGCTTAAACCTCAAAAATGGCTACACAAGCCCAAGCGATCCGCATCCCAAACCATTCGAAATTCAAATTATTCCCCTCTTCCGCTCCATCTCCTTCCCGTCTTTCTCTCTCCACACAGACAGCGCACGCATCCACCACCCCCCAACACGGGAGCGGAGAGCTCGCCGCCGGCGATCGCCGCAGGATTCTGAGGGCTTCTTCCGGCGGCCACGGGAGATGGTTCTGCTCGAACGCACGCCGTTGGTGGTGCCCGAGGCAGCAGCAGCAGCCGCCGCCGCCTCCAGCCCGCTCCGGAGGCCGTCGCCTAGGGTTCTGAGGGAGGTGCCCCCGCCCCCCCTCGATCCCATCCTCCCCTACCTCAGGTAATGGCTAGATCAGTATCCATATCAGCACCTGTTCCCTTCGATTTAGGTCCTATTTGGGGGCGTGGGATTCCGCCGTAGCGCTGCGTGGAATAATGCTTGGTTTCGCCTCAAGTTGTGTGGCGTACGCATCGTACTGGGATTCTGTCCCTTCCTCTGAGTTATGTAGTTAATTGGGCGTGTGATTTAGATTTTGACACTTCGCCTCTGCGATTCCTGTTCAATTGCTCAGTGGCAGTGTGCAGTTGAACTTGGACGAACGGAAATGTGAGAAATGGGGGCGTGTGTGTTCCGAAAAAAAAAAAAGAAAAGCAAAGGGTATGACCACCACTGTTTGAGTGTCTGGCAACGACAGAAGTGCATTTTGCCGAGACATTGTGACTGGTCACTCGTAATGTCCAGTGTTGGGACTTGGGAAGGATTTAGTTTTGGAGCTGATTTGTTTTGTGCAGCTAGGTTGATTTTTCTTGTGAAGGATTAGCTTGTTCATGTGGAGACGGTTCTCTTATTCCTTTATCAGTTCTTGAACTGTCAAGTAATGTAATGTGCCCACTTTCTGTGCTCCTTCTGTACTAATGTGCTGCTTTCTGATAGGTCCTTTTGGTAAAAACTTTGCATATATAACTTATTTTTATGTTCCTGGTACTATTATATCTATTTTATAAGGTAAATCTAATCTTTCATGCACATGCTGGTATTCATGCATAATTTATCTATGTATCACTGCGGTTTGTTTGTCCTGGTCAGGGCCCCAGTCCTGGTGTATGCATTCGTTTATGTTAGTTTCTGACTTGGTATTCAGGTCTATCAACAAGGCTATGGATGAGCTCAGGACAGGCCCAAAATTTGAAGCAGCAGCGCTTGATCGGCTCAAGATTTGTGTAATGGAATGCATTGATAAGTATGGTGACGATTACCAGTACTCCACAGACCCCCGACTCCTCAAGATCTGGATCCTCTATGTAATTGTTTGGCTTTGAAGTTTCAATTCTTACCTTATCCATTTTCTATCCTTTTGCTCATTTCCCCCCCACTTTGTTCTATGTTAGGCGGATGCAATAGGTGATTTTGATAAGGCATATAAGCAGTTGGAGGAGAAAAGAATGTTTTTAGAGCATGCACTGCTCTATGATGCATATGCACTGTTTCTCTTCAGTAAGGGGAAAGTGCTGGAGGCTGGTAAGGTGTATGAAGTTGGTATTTCCAGGTTAGTATGACACTGAATTATGTTTTTGTTGAAGTGAACTTTTTGGGCAGCAACAATCTGATGTCAAATTTGTCATGTTGATGTGATCGCAAATCATTTCCGTGGACCAGAAAAGCCGAGCCACTTGATCATTTGAAGAAGATGCATACGATATTTTTAAAACACTTGGAGAAGATTGTAGAAGAAGCAGATGCCGATGCCCAGGTATGATAACTGTGTGGTGGAATGGACATTAGTTGAGTCCTTGAATATTTGTCAAATGATTCACATATTTCATATTCAATTGCATTTTTAGTAATCAGGACATTGTGGCTGTGTTGTAGATTTGTTAGTATTTTAGCTATGGTCAGTTGGTCACAAGGCTGACAAACTTGCAGCAGTAAGAACTAAGAACTGCTTTGATATTGTTTCTTACATGATATTTCTCTGTGGTGGAACATTTGTTTTTCCAAAAAAGGTTGGCAAGCAATAGGATAATTGTCTTCACATTTCTGTGCATGTGAACTGTGATACATTCTACATAATTTATTCATTTATTTGCATGTTTGCATGTTGTGAACTTAATATTTATTTGGGGCTAATCACAATGATATCTACTTTGTACTTGCCGATCTTTACTAGCTCGAACATCTATAACATCTATTTCAACTAAATACATGACGGTTTATTTTACATTTTCATGGAAAGAGTTTCTGTTCTGTCATTCCTGCAACTCTATTTATACAAAAATAGCATGATTCTAGTTATTTAGAGTGGCTTTTTTTATTATATGTTTAGGGATATATTTTATTTAGTTTAATCATAGTTGGGAATGAATTTCAGGTTGTACTTTCCACTGATTCTTGTGGTGTATGTGTTCTATTATGAGTTTGTCTCGGAAATATATTATTTATGCTATGTGGTACATTGATAGAATCGGGAGTGCATTTGCACAGCTTTACCATAGTGAAGTCAGAACATAAATATAGGGCACTATCAGCATAACAGTGCCATACCAAACAATCTTCTTATACGGTTCAATTCATAAATAAATAGAGAAAATCGAGCAAATTGCAAAAGCAAAGAATAAAATGAAATATCGGGCTGAAGCCACATGATGTGCCATTGAAAGCTACATCCCTGCCCCTGCTTGAGTGGACTAATCATTACTAGATAAAGAAACATGAGACATGCAATTTCTATATGTTTTCGAAGAACAATATCTATATAACCCTGTTAAGCTTGTGAAGTAACTTATGCAAAAACCTTTTTTTGTTTCTTTTACTTGTCATTACTGGCCATTATTGTAGCCAGCATATATTATAGTCGCCTAATGCTATTCTTCTTTGTGGATGATTCACCATACTAACTCCATTTTTTTTTGTTACTGTCTGCTAGCCGAAACCATCGAAAATACAAAAGAAAGAACCTATTTTGCTGGATCCATGGTCTGAGTCTACTATGAATAATTTATTGGAGAACATTAATGTTGATCTGAAGAAGTTCGCTGTAAGTTGCATTTACTCTATATGATTCGCTAGTGTTTATCTTAGCTCTCATCTTGGACGGTTGCCCGAATCCTTGACAGGGCTATCATAAGAGCAATAAGGTCTATCATGGAAAGGTGCCATTAACTTCGCCTCAGAATGTTTTAAGAAACAAAGTCATTGAATTAGGTATAAACTATAATTTCTTGCTTGTCAGTCTTTTACCAAAACTATAATCATTTTTGTAGTTTGGCTCCTTTATGATCCATGCTCTGTAAGTCACAATGAATACATAATAATGCTCCTTGAAAAAAAGGAAGAAATATACCCTTTTTTATTTAGAAAAAGGCCATTTATATTGATGACATAACAAAAGTTTAGTTACAAATCCCTTTTGTTGCACCAAGGTGGTAGAAAGTACCAGATCAAAGGTTCTCCTGGTACTGGTGCTTTTGCAAAAGTTTACAAAGCCAGTGTCGATGGTAATACAGAAGACCTGGTTGCTTTAAAGGTGAGTCATACTTCCATTTGTCTTACTGAAGCCTGCTTTTTTCATCAGATTCCTCTACTGAACTTGCCCGTTTGCAGATTCAGAAACCACCATTTCCTTGGGAATTTTACATGTATCGCCAGCTTGATACGCGCGTATCTGATATTGAGGTACAGAAATTATCTTTAAGAAGACCATAACATTTGTAATTGTAAAATTATGATTCACACTGCAAAATAATTTTACTTCCAGAGACCAAGCTTTGGCTACACTCATGAAGTGCATGTATACGCTGATGTCAGTGTGCTTGTTTGTGATTACCTGCCATACGGAACTCTTCTGGTAAAATACTTTATGTATTAATTTTTTTTTTTGAGATCATGATCATGCAAAACTAGCATTTTGTGCCCGGATTAGTGAATCTGTGTTTGATAAGATGCAAATCTTTTGCAGGATGTTATAAATTCTCATCTAGTACTTGAACGCCATATGGATGAAGTTCTATGCATATATTACACTATAGAGATGCTGCGCATGTTGGAAACACTGCACAGCGTTGGCATAATTCATGGTGATTTCAAGCCTGACAATATGCTTGTTTGCTACCCAAGGTAAGTAGAGGTAACCAGCTTAGCTTTCAAGTTAGAACACTTGATGGAGCTTCCTCCCTCTTCCTCTTGTGATCTCTAACTGAAATATGGGCAAAACACACACACACACACACACACACACTCTCTCTCTCTCTCTCACACAGACACACACAAAACTATCCAGTGACCATTGACATCTTACTTTTCATAAAATCGACAGATTTATTCTAGTTGCAATATTTGTGTGCCGTCCATTTGCCCAGTGCCCATATTCTCTTGCTATTTGTTTTGGACAGATCTTGTTACCATGTTTGTGGGTGATGATGTCTGTGCTGTAAATATTTTACTCCAAGCTTCACAACCATCTACAACTTTTATAAACTAGATGTTATATTTAAACTGATCTAATAACATAGTTTTCAATGAAAATATTTGACATGGATGGTCATAACAACAAGCATGTTGGTAAGTGGTCAATTTGTTGGCCCCAGATGTTGGGTTTGGTGGGGGCAAAGATCCTTGCTGATTTACTACTGTTTCAATTACTTTATATGAGCGGTTACTGGAATCTTGCTTGATGGCTCCATCCTCCATGTTTCCGCTGAGATGACGATTTTTTTTGTCATTTTTGTTGGCCATTTGCTGCTATTGGCTTGTTTCGGCCAAAACTCAATTATAACCCATCTAGTACATGTTACGCCTGAAAAAAAAAGAAAGAGTAAACCTAATGCTAGTGTCTGTTCCTTTTTGTTCTCGCTATCCAAGTCTTCACCTCTTCAATCTTTAGCCCTTGTCTCGACATGTAATTTTCGTTCACCCGCATCTTTGTTTTGCGTGTGGTGGTCTGTGCAGTGGAGAAATCACAGACGAAACCTTCAAAGGCGAGACAAGATCCGAGCGGAATCAGGTCAGCTTCTCAATCCCAAGTTCCCAACACGCCGAGAAACTTGGTTAAGATGTTCTGGATATCTCCTGATGCTTATAGGATTCCCATTCCAGGGGCTCTGCCTTGTTGACTGGGGCCGTGGCATCGACCTGAACCTCTTCCCATCCGGTGCGGAGTTCTACGGCGACTGCCGAACCTCCGGGTTCAGCTGCGTCGAGATGCAGGAACAGAGAGCCTGGACGTTTCAGGTATCTGTACCCTCCCAAGCTACTTACTCAAAACCTCCTCTCACCTAGACATCTCTGAAAGCAACCCCTGCCTGACGCTGCCAGTTTGTTTGTTGGTTGGTTGATTGGTTTCTTCCTGCAGGCTGACACTTACGGCCTCTGCGTCATCGCGCACATGATGCTACATGGGACGCAGATGAGCATCCAGAAGACGCCCAGGCCCGATGGAAGCTACATGTACCAGCCCACATCGCCGTTCAAAAGGTGCTTTGATGCCATTGCCTATACACCTCTTTGATAATTTCCTCTATCCCAAAATATAGCTACTATGAGATATTTTTCAGTACTATGAATCTGAACAGGTTTAGAAAATATCTCATCCTATGCTAGTTAGTTATATTTTAAGATAAAGGTAGTAGTAATTACCATGATTCGCAGTAGCGTAAATAAATCAGAGATTAGATTAGATGGCATATGTAACAGGAGCTGTTTGCTGCCATTTTGCCCCTTGACAGGTACTGGAACGTGGAGCTGTGGAAAAACCTCTTCTCCACGCTGCTCAACGCGACCTCCAACGGCAGCGACGCGGCCGTGCTCCGGAGCCTCCGGATGTCCTTCCAGGAGTACCTGTGCAGCAACCGGCAGCTCGTCGGCAAGCTGAACCAGCAACTGGCCAAGCAGAAGACCTCCCTGTGCCTATCCTGACCGAGACATATACGCATCTCGCGTTTCATCCTCATCATTTTTCCCGATTCCCTCGTGTTGCCTGTGTGTAAAGTGGTGGAGTATAAGATACCTTCCGTAACTTCGTAGCACTTCCTCTGTGCGTGCGTGTGCAGCAGTAATTAACGTGCCACATCTCCACTTTGAAAGCTGAAACATCTACTATTGGGCCAGATGGAAATTTCGTACAGTATCTTCTTCTCCAACTAGCGGCTACTAGGTACCATGCGTCTGTCACGTCTAGAGGAGTTTTTTCTTTCTTTCTTTTCTTTTTTTCTTTTTTTGCCATGGTGGTCGAGATCGAGTGAGATTTGTGGGCAGTGGGCGACGAGCGAGACCAAACGGAAACGGACGAAGCAACGAGCGTACGGCTCGTGAAGTCAAAGGGCGCGATCAGATAAGATGAGGCGGTGATGGTGTGTAGTAGGCCACAGGGGCTGGGCCCAATTCCAGCCGTCCCCGGCCCAGGCTGACGGTCGCTGCTGGCAGTTCTGTTTCGTGTGGTCGCGGAGGCCGGGCCTTCGTCGGTCGGGGTATCGTGGACGTGATCCCGTCGTCGGAGGACGTAAGGTGGGGAGCGTCATGCGCCGCAACTAGCTATTCTTACGACGTGTTCTAAACCACACTAGTGGAAGTACAAATTATTCGTGTCACGTTTTTATATTTACGATTTCCCTAAAATCTTCTGGGAGTAGCTATATTTATATTTATGGTGTCATATTTTTCATCAATAAATAGTCAACATGTATTTACATTGTAAGTATCTAAATTACATATGTAATTTCAGTGTATATGTAACGTAAGTCATAAAATTACATATGTAAATCCGAAAATTACATATGTAAGTTTTAAAATTACATATGTAATTATAGTGTAAATAGTATGTAACTATGATGTAACCAACGTGTCATCATCCATACAGGAAAAATCCGATGCTAATAAAAAAAGGCAAAGGATTAATAACGATAAAAAGGAAAGCTGCATCCCTCAAGCCTTTATCCACCGTACATCAAACCATCAACGGCCAGAGATCCGACTGTTTTCAGACAAGAAAAACATGCGACACATAACTTTTTACCTCGGTATTGCTTAAAAATATACTATTTCCTAATTAAGCTATTTGCTAGCTTTATAATGGTTAACTTGTCGATATGAGCAATTTCCGTTTGGTTATAATCTATCTATTCATGTCATCCAGTTATAACGCTCAGGTTGGGTGAATATTGTTGTGCTGGACGGTTTCTTCCAAAACAAAACGTACTCTGCTAACAAAAAGTGGCTATAGAAGAACGTAGATGGTTCGCGTATTGCAACCATGCATCTACTAGTAACAAGTACACACCATTGTATTTAGTAACAGATCTCTGTCCTAAGTTAATTTATTCCGGGACACTGATTGTACTACGGAATTACTTGTAAGTACCAGCTACCAGGTGTAGGGTGTGTTTTCACGCTAAAATTGAAAATTTGATTGAAATTGAAACGCTGTGACGAAAAAGTTAGAAGTTTATGTGTGTAGAAAAGTTTCGATATATTGAAAAAATTAAAAGTTTAAAGAAAAAAATTTGATACTAAACCAAGCCGTAGTACAGATGGCTCGGTTTGACTTGCCGGCCGGCCAGGCCGGTTGAAGGATCACTGGTATATATGCGGCGGTCGTGCACGGGCGCGTGTGGTGCGGTTCAAGGAGTGGCCGTCATCGTGGCTACTACTTTCCGTCAAAAAATCGTGGCTACTACTATAGCCGAAGAATGATAAGGATGTTTGCTGTGTGTTTGACGCCCCGTTAATCCAACACCGTTTTTGCATATAATTGCATTGCACCCATGGACCATGGTCGCGCGCTTGTGGCAGTCGAAATTTTCTGCGTCTGTGACTGACGATGAGAGGTACTCCTGTAGCTAGCTAGAAGCGTCGGAAGGGGTGAAATTAAAGATCGATTTCTGGTGTTGTACGTACGTGGTCGCTAGATCTGGTTGGTGCCTCTTGCTTTTCTGGGCTCCCCTGGAAAACTGTTACTGCTAATTTTAGCCCCATTTATCGATCGGCCCGAGTTCCATACCATGTCTCAGCTCCTGTAGCCGACCTACCTCTGTCCTAGCTCTGACACGTCACAGAAACGTTAACATGGTCAGTTAGTCACGCTGATACATAGGAGTCGTAGTACACAGCCGCGCGCCGACCCGACCGAGCCAACCAACCTCCCACCAACCCGTCCATCGCACGGCGCGGCCCACGCCAACGCAGGCAAGTCATCAGTCAGGCAGCCGGCCGCCCGCGCGCGCCCGCACCGTAGCGTGCACCGAAGGTGATCCGGTTGTTTCCCCGTGATCAGCTGTGCCTGTGCACGCTGCCCCTGCTCGATCTGCATGCGCGCGCGCGCTGCAGAGGCAGAGCCCGATCACATGGCCAGCACGGGGCCTGTAGCTCTCCACATGCCGTTGACGGGATGACGGGTCGGCGCGCGCGATCGATCGATCGCGGCGAAACGCATGGTGATCTCTGATCAAAAACCCGTACGCGCGATAGGGTTTGGTGGTTTGCTGCTGCTGCTGGCTGCTGCGGCTGTGCAGGGGGGCGCGACCACGCACGCACCGGCCACGCGCCTGCGGACCGATCGATCGGTCGATCGGCGGCGGTCTCGCGCGCACTCGAGCGAGCGGCAGAGCGCGCGGCACCGTTGGTTTGGTTGGGTGCGTGGGTGGTTAACAGCAGCTGGGTGGTTGTGATTGGATTGGATGGTCCCTGCAGCTGGAGCTGGGGTTTGTGCGGGGTTGGGTCGTTGGAGTTAGCTGGGTTCGCTGCTGTTGTCGCCACGCTTGCTGGCTACTAGGAGGAGTACGTACTAGGCGTGGTCACCGTGGGCGTATTGTGCAGCGAGTAGTAGGGTTGTAGGGCATGCACGCTCTGGACAGTACGGGTGTACGGGTCTGTAACACGCGCGCGCGTGGTAATAATTAACAGGGAGGAACCAAATAGCTATAGATCGTAGGGGGGAAATGAGTTACTTGTCGTGATAAGAGCGCAAAAAAAAAAAAACACGTACGACTACGTACGCCGGTATGTAATTTCACCTTACGTATTTTTGGCTAGATGATTTGGACCATCGACCAATCGATCGCCGCTAATATCAAACCTCAAGTATAAGAGCACACGATCGATTGACCACCTCCAATTAATCTCCATGCCAAAGTAGCAAAATATCACATCACTCATCTTCGAAGATTGTCCTCCTTAAAACCAACAAATCTAATAAGAAATAATAGAATGTGACATCCTATAATATCTCAGATCTCATAGTAGGTATATTTACTTTAGGATGAAGGTAGTAGCCGTAAACGGCGTGTGTCCTTGCGATGCTTGGTTAATAAAGGAAAGGAAATTGATAAAGAATTATGAATGATCAATGGCACTATTTAATTCTCAGGATCAAATTAACCGAAATTGTTTATTACTCTCACCGTCCTAAAATATAGCAACTTTTAGCCTTTAAAATCTATCCCAAAATTATATCTACTTCTCCACCGACATTTTTTTTCAAACAAATCACAACCTTCCAACATTCAATTTCCCTACCAACCTTCACTTCTCATCCAATCACAACCTTCATCACATCTAATTCTACCTATTTCTCAATGGTTGTGTCCAATCTAAAAATTCTTATATTCTAGATGAATAGAGTAGCATATTTTAGCGCGGATCAACTAGGTGGTTGATCATCTGTCTGCTAGTTAGCCAAAATGGCCGAAAGTCATCTGCGCGTACGTGGGCTGACCATGGTTTGCATTACCATCGGTAACCACACGGTTACCGGCCTTACCGCAGGGTACGGTAATAGAAAAACCACAATAACTTTCTTAAATTTAAATAAATTTAAAAATAATTTAAATTTTTGACAAATTTTACACGGTTTCGTACGATTTTTCACGGTTACCACAGTTATAGCGTGTTAACTGTGCTTACCGTCTGATAACTGTGCTTACCGTCGAGGCGCAGTAACCCTGGCCGGCTAGCCCCGGCGGTTTAGGAAACCATGTGACCGACCGGGCGAGTCGTGCCGGTGGGATCGTCGACTACACGGCCGCGCACGGGCATGCAGCGCACGGCAGCGCAGGCAATTTTTGATCGATCCCTCCCGCGCGCGGTTCGACTGTTGGAGATGAGATGAGTGCGTACGTACGTGCAGTGCGCAGTACGTACGTGGTCGCGCGCGCGCGCCATGTCAGGCTGGTGGTGGTTAACGCGCGCGCGCGGGCCGGCATGCGGCATGCCCCAGTAGCGATATAGATCTCGATGCCGAGACCGACCTGCACAGTTGCCTAGGTTTGCATGCAGAGTGCAGGCTGCACAGTGCTGTGCACATGCAGCTAGCTAGCTCTAGCTACGGGCGCGCTCGCTGATCAGTTGGCCGATCGAATTAGCGTTTCGCGCCGTCGGCCAACGATTCAGTTTCGAAACTCGCACTTGTGGAGAAATCGTTTTTATACGGTTCGTAACCCCTATAGTCCCGATTTGAAAATCGAGACTATGAATCCGGGACTAAAGATCCATATTTTAGTCCCGGTTCAAATACTCGGGAATAAAGATGGGAGCGGGCAATAGTTTTTTTTTTCATTTACTTACTATTTAATCTCTAATTTATTTTCTCCCAAATTAGGTGGGATGCATATTCCTTAATCAAACCCAAATACACAAATCAATCAATCATATACACTACAGATTATACATTCCAAATCAAACCCCAAATCAAAGAAACATCCCAAATACACAAATCATGTACATCTCAGATCCATACAATGAGATTCCAAAAAAGAAATTATACATCTCAATCCATACAATGAACCACAGATTCTTCATCTCAATCTATACATGGATCACAAATTCTTTGAAAAAAAAAGAAAAAAAACGAAGCAAAGCCGTCGGCTGGCTGAGCCGGCTGCTGCCTCCCCTCCTCCCCGGCCGCCGCCGCGCCGGCCCCCGCCTCGCGTCCCTCCGCCGGCCGGGCCGCCCACCCCCTCCTGCTGCTCACACGGGATCGAGTTGGGAAGGGATAAGAAGGAAAAGAGATAAGGAGGAAGGGAAAGGATAAGGATTAGAGATGGAGGGAGAGAGGAGTTGGTGTGGATGAGAAAAGAGTGGATGAGAAAAGAGGATAAGTAATATGGATTATATAGTGCGTTTTGATCTTTAATTCCGGTTTGTAACA